TCAAGTTCCTGGGATTGAAGATCACCAACAATCTGTCCTGATCCATCCATGTTGACGCAATTGTCAGGAAAGCAGAGCAACGTCTCTACTTCCTCAGAAGGCTAAGGAAATCTGGTATGTCCACAAAGCCTCCTGTGCAAAGGCATTCTGGAATTCCAAGAAGATCACATCCACGGGCTCTCCTTTGTCTGACTTTTTTATTACTACCTCAAAGAATTCTAACAGAGTTGTCAGGCATTACCTTTTGTTGATGAAGCCGTGCTGACACTGCCCTATCTTACCATGTACTTCCAAGTACTCTGCAATCTCATCCAAAATAATGGACTGTAAAATCTTACCAATGACCAAGATCAGGCTAACTGGCTCTGTCTTCCTTTAACAGGGTGTTATATTCACCATTTTCCACTCCTTCAGAACTCTGGGGTGTCATCCATCTGGTGTGATTCATCCACCTTCAGACCTTTCAACTTCCTCAGCACTTTCTTCTAAATGCTGGACACTGCACTTGTCTCTGCGCCCTGACTCTTGAAGTTGAGGTATGCTGCTCTGTCCCCCGCTGTGAAAACTGATGCAAAGTACCAATTCAGTTTCTCCACCATTTCTTTGTTCCCCATTATTGCTTCTTCAGCCTCATTTTCCATCGGTCCAATGTCCACTCTTACCTCTTCTTGCCTTTTATACACCTAAAAAATACTCTCGCCATCTTCTTTTGTATCACTATCTAGCTTACTGTCGTTTCATTTTCCTACCCCTTATTGTTTTTTTTTGAGTTATCCTCTTGGTTTTTAAAAGGCCTCACTAATCTTCACATTGTATGTTATTTTATTTGTTTTAATGCTGTCCCTGACTATCCCTTGTCAGCCATGGTTACCTAGTACTTCCCTTAGTATGGTTCTTCTTTGGGATGAATTTCTGCAGTGTCTCCTGAATAATCCCAATGGTAGCACGGTTGGTCTGTGCCTGCTGCCTCTCAACGCCAGAGACCCAGGTTCAATTCCAGCCTCAGACAACAGTGTGTGGAGTTTGCACATTCTCCCTGTCTCGTGGGTATCCTCCAGGTGCTCCAGTTTCCTCCCACAGTCCAAAGATGTGCAGGCTATGGTGGATTAGCCATGGGAAATGCAGAGTTACAGGGATTGGGTAGGGGAGTGGGTCTGGGTGGGATGATCTTTGGAGGGATGGTTTGGACTTGATGGGCCGAATAGCCTGCTTCCAGACTATATAGGGTTTCGATGATTTGAAGAATTGCGTTCCATTGCTGCTCCACTGTCTTCCGTGCAAGGCCTCGCCTTCTAATCAGCTATGGCCAGCTCCTCCTTCATGTCTTTGTAGTTGCTGTTACATCTGATTCCACCTTCTCCCTCTCAAATTGCAGGGTGAATTTTATCATATTATGGTCACTGCCCATTAAGAGATCCTTACCTTCAGCTCCCTAATCACATCTGCCTCATAATTGCCTGATCCCTCATGGGCTGTATTCACAGCTGCTTAAAAAACAGTCTTGTAAATATTCCACAAATTCCTGTGTTGAGATCTGCAACCAAACTGATTTTTCCAGTCCACCTGCATATTGAAGACCATCCTCCTCATGTTTATTGTAATGGTGCCTTTCTTACCTGCCTTTTCTATCTCCTGATTTATTTTCTTCTCCACATCCTGACTACTGTTAAGAGGTTTGTACATTACTCCCATCAAGAGTCTTTTTTCTTTGCGGTTCCTGAACTCTAACCACACAGATTCTGTGCCTTTTGACTCTACACTACCACTTGCTATTCATTTAATTTCATTTCTTACCCACAAGACAACCCACCACCACCCCCATCCACCCCCAAACAACCTACCCATCTGCCTGCCCTTTTGATAGGACGTATATTGTTGGATAATTGGTTCCCAGTCTTGATCCCCTTGCAGCCATCTCTGTGATACTCACAACTTTGTAGCTGCGAATCTCAATCTGTGGTACAAGCTCATTTGCCTTGTTTCATATCCTGCGTGCATTTAAGTAAAGCACTCTCAGTCCTGCACAAACTGCCCCCCTTCTCATAGTTGGCTGCTTCTCTGATTCCTGATTCTCTCCATACTCACTTTCCTGTTACTTGTTCTGAAAACTTTAAAACTCTCACCTGAGCCCTGTTGCTCATAATCCCACACCACTGCACTCTTTCCACCCACAGCACCTTAACTTTTTCTCTATAATTTTCCATGCAACAGAACCCAAACCTGTGCTATTTATTTTAAAGCCCCAGTTAAGCGATCCACAAGGACTCTGGTCCCAGTATGATTCAGGTGGAACCTGCTCTGTTGGAGCAGCGCTCTCCCTCCCCAGTACTGATGCCATTGTCCCATTAATTTGAACTTGTTTCTCCAAAACTAATCTTTGAGCCACATGCTTTCTTCTTTAATCTTGTTGACCCTGTGCCAATGTGCTCATGGCTCAGGTAGTAATCCAGAGAATATTACCTTTTTGATTCTGCTTCTTAATTAAGCCCCTAGTTGATCATATTGCCTCAGCTCTACTCTTTCCTCTTTCTATTTATATCATTGGTACCCACATGGACCACAATAACTGGATCTTTCCCCTCTCACTCCAAGTTCCTCTGCAGCCCAGGTGAGATATGCTGAACCTGGGCACCAGGCACGCAACAGCCTTCAGGACTCTCGATCCCAGCCACAGGCAGCAGTGTCTATTGCCCCAGCTATACTATCCCTAATTGCTACAATGTTTCTCTTTTCTTCCCCTGCCCCTTTAATTGCTCCCTGTCCCACGGTGCTATGGTCAGTTTGCTCATCCACCCTACAGCCCCCACTCTCATTCACATGGAGTGAGAATCTCAAACCTGTTGGACAAGCTCTTTCAGGAGCTCCTTCAGAACCACCTCCTGGATTCTTCTATCTGCCTCACCCGTAGTCACACTCTCCTGTCCCTGATGATTGCTCGACTTTGAGGTAGTTCATCTAAGGGATGTGACTGCATCCTGAAACATAGCGTCCTGGTAACTCTCTCCCTTCCTGATATGTCGCAGTGTTTAAAGCTCAGACTCCAGCTCATCAACTCTGAGCCGGCGTTGTCAAGCAATCAACAGTTGCTACAGATGTGGTCATTTTGAACCACAGTGGGGTCCACCAGATCCCATATAATGCAGGTACAAAACATTGCCAGACCTTGTGTCTCCATTTTATTTATTTAGTTTTTAATTTGATTTTTAAAAAAATCACCTCCAGTCCTTTTGTTTGAAGCCTGTAAATAATTCCCTGTTTTACCCTTCAATCTGAAAGTAACGTATAGCAGTCAAATCATGGAATTCCTACAGTGTGGAAGCAGGCTATTCAGCCCAGTGAATCCACCCAGACCCAATGCCTACCCTATCCCAGTAACACTGCATTTCCCACAGCGAATCCACCTAGCCTATACATCACTAGACACTGAGCAATTTATCATGGCCAATCCACACTAACCCGCATATCTTTGGACTGTGTGAGGAAACTCACACAGACACAGGAAGAATGTGCAAACTCCATACAGACAGTCGCCAATTGAACCTGGGTCCCTAGCACTATGAGGCAGCAGTGCTAACCACTGAGCCACCATGCTATTAACTATTGTCAAAAAATGTGGAGCTGAAAAGCACTGCAGGTCAGACAGCATCTGAGGAGTAAGAAAGTTAATGTTTCAGATTGGAACCCTTCTTCTGGACTGGGGATGTCTTGAAAAAGTGTTCAGGCCCAAAACGTTGACATTCCTGCTCCTCGGATGCTGTCTGACCGACTCTGCTTTTCCAGCTCCACATTTTTTGACTCTAGCTTCCAGCATCTGCAGTGCTTTCTGTCTCCAAATGCTATTGGCTACTACTGGCTATCACCAACCAATGAACATCCAGTTTACCTGCGATATCCCTCTTTTGTACTGGGCCCTTGGTCCTGGACTTCACTTTATTCTGTTATAAAGTTCTACAAAATATTAGTCAAGCACCAAGCATCTCTTCCCCTCTGCACACAATTCCCACATTGCCTCCAACTCCTGAAGTATATACACACTGGGGGTTTGTCCCACTGCAGAAGTGATCTCTTCTTCCTGACTGTGCAAAGCTTACACCCTCGGTAGGTTCCCCTCCAAGCCACTCACCATCCTGACTTGGAAATATGTCACCATTCCTTCAGTGTTGCTGGTTCAAAATCTGGAATTTCCTCCCTCAGGGCATTGTGGGTCTACCTACAGCACATGGACTGCAGCGGTTCAAGAAGGCAGCTCACCCCCACCTTCTCAAGGGGCAACTAGGGATGTGTAAAGCTAGCATTTGTGGCTTAAGCTGTTCACAAGAATTAACTTTAATCTTGAAAAGCATGGGGTCTAAGTGAGTAGCACTCAAATAAATATTTCTGGATATCTGGGAGATAGCAAGAACTGAAGATGCTGGAGTCAGTCAATACAGTGTGGAGCTGGAGAAACACAGCAGGTCGGGCAGCATCAGAGGAGCAGGAGCAAGAGAGTCGACGTTTCAGACCTAGACCCTCCTTCAGGTCTGGGGAGGGGAAGGGAGCTGGGAAATAAATAGAGGGAAGAGGAGTGGGACTTGGGGAAGGTAGGTGGAATGGTGCTAGGTGGATGCAGGTAAGGGGTAGGGGGGATTGGTCAGTGGGAAGAGTGGGGTGTGTAGGTGGGGAAGAAGATGGACAGGGAGTGTTCAATTTTAAATATGATTAATTTATTCTAAAAAATTTGCATAGCTCAATAAAGATCTGTGTCCAGTCACCTTCAGACTTCAGTATCCAAAGGCTGGACGTGGGCTTTAACTGTGGTATCAGGAACTTTCAAGGCAGAATCTGTTTTTAATAAATAGGGAAGTATTCAACGAGGTTGAATGAAGATACAATGTGAATGTCACCTGACTTTTTGAATGGTGAGATCAGTTTAAAGATCTGAATAGCCTCATCTTCCTGAACAAGGAATTCAGCAGATGAAGTAATTCACAGGAAGGAGGTGAATAAATCAGCACAATCAATAGAAGAAAAACCTTTATTGCTTCACAGAGTCAACTCACATTAAACCCAGGGTTGTACAATCCGCAGGAATGTAATTCCTTCACTTTAACTCCTCAGTAAATTCTGCATTTGAAAACTGCCTAGCAACCAGTTTGTGTTATCATCTCCTGTAACCAGCTGGAATATAACCACCTAAACAAACATATCTTGTAGTGGATTACAGAATTAGTTCTTGAACTTTGAAAGGAATGTCTGTAACTGTGTGTGTATAAGACTCCCTGCAGCTTGACCAAATCCAAGTCCTTTTGGCCCGATGTTCTTGGCACAGCAATCTGCAAAGAGAAGAGAAACAGAGACAAACATTTCAGTTTGACAGTGAATTGTAGAAACACAAACTGAACTGAAATAACTGGATAGAGGCCAGCTGGAAACTTTGATTAAAGACTCATGCTTCATTTAAAAAGTGCTTCAGAGGAGGAAAGCTGTTTTCTGAGTTCGGTCTGGTCAACATACAACTCCAGTTACACACATACCATCTGCCTACTTGTGCATCACGAGGTATTGGTGGTTGATGAGTAATAATCTGCAGCTGAGGGAATGAGTGCCATCCCACTCACATTCTGAATCAGAATACTGTACACAAAACACAGCGAGCAATTTGTGGCAAAGACAGTTTTGAAAAAGTTTGCGATGTGTAAGGACCATAAATGAATGAACGAATGAATTAAACAGGGGCAGGAAGGCAGGAAGTGATTTTATGTAACTGCCAGGGACAAGGTTGCTGTAGAATTCACCAACCTCTTCCACCTCCCATCCATGACAAGATGTCGTGATGGTCCTCAGCAACGGTAATATGACAGAATCCTTTGAGGTCAAGACAGGAATTAAGCAGAATGTATCATCACATCCCCCACCCCCACCACCTTTTCTCCGTCTTCATCACCGCCATTTTTTATCTTGTCCAGAACAAGCTTCTCAGTGATGTGGACATTGTTTGCAGGATGGATGCAACATTTTTCAACCTCACTTGGTCGAAATCCAAGAAGAAAACAACATCAATCTCACTTGTGGAACTTCAGGATGTGGATGATAATGTTATCTCTGTGCTCACAGGAGAGAATCTTCAAACCTTGCTTACAGCTTCCCATAAGCACACTGAAGAACTAGTCTCAGCCCCAACCTCAAGAAGCCTCAAATCCTTCAGCTACTCATGACTCCATGGCTCATCCTTGGTCAAGTTCTGGTCCATCCCTCCCCAACCTGGAACATCTTCCCTTTCTGGGAAGCTACCTGTCATCTAAGACTGACACCTGTGCAGAGATTCAACATGACTTCTAATCTGCCAGCACCGCCTTCAGATCCTGAAGAAATGAGAGTCTTCAGTAACCCTGACCTCTACGCCGATAGCAAGATCCTTGTGTATAATGCAGTCATCCTTCCAATTCTTCGATACAGCTCTGAAATCTGAACTCTGTATTGACAACACCTCAAGGCCCTTGAGAAGTCCTATCAATGCTGTTTGAGACAAAAGGCATCAGCATCCTTGAAGCAGTCAATAGCACTAGTATTAAGGCCATAATCATCCGAAACCAATCCACTGAGCTGGCCATGTGATTAGGGTGTCTGAGTTCCAAAGTAAATCACCTTCACCCAGGTCAAGGAAGGCACTCGAACAAGGGGAGGATAATGGGAGTGTTTCAAAGACACTCTAAAGGCTTCCCTCGTAGATTGCAACATAGACAATAATGCATGGAAAATGCTCATTCAGAAGAAACCATCTTGGAGGAAGCTCTTGTATGAAGGGACACAATTCCTGAGAGCACCCGTCGGCAAGAGGAAGTATGGAAAAGGGACCAGCAAAAGGAATGCCAACAATATCCAGGCCAACGACCAATTCCACCTCCTGAAACACCTGCTGAGTATGTGGTGGGAGATGTGGCTGTAGGATCAGGCTCATCACCCACACAAAGAGCCACGGAGCCCATGATCAGTGACATGGAATTTCCGGGGGCGTGGGGGGGATGATCATACCCGTTAGTGATTGACTGCCGATGAAGGTATTATCGACAATAAATTTGACAGTCATACCTTCCTCCAAATCATTTCTACAAATTGAAAACAGTTGATATCAGTGCTCTCGTTACATCTTGTTACCTGGAAAAGATTCATTTATACCTACTCTTTGCTTCCTGTTAGCCAGTCAACTATCCATGCTACCCCTACACCAGGAGCTTTTGTTTCCCTCAATAACTTTTGATGTGGCACCTTATCAAATGCCTTCTGCAAATCTCAGTATATGCACCATTTTTCCTTTAGCCACAGCTTGCAATACTTTCTCAAAGAACTCCAAAGGAATGTTGGCACCATGGGGTTTGAATAGTGAGGAACAAAAACAGAAGTTGCTGGAAAAGCTCAGCAGGTCTGGCAGCATCTGTGAAGATCCGAAACATTAACTCTGATTTTTTCTTCACAGATGCTGCCAGACCTGCTGAGATTTTCCAGCAACTTCTGTTTTTGTTCCTGGTTTACAGCTTCTGTAGTTCTTTTGATTTTTATTTGAATACTGAGGGGCTTGTCTTTGACCACTGCAAATTTAAATGGGCTGAAGGGTCTTTATCAATGCCGTAGACTGTACAATTCTATGACACTAGGCTGATGGCCTTTCACCAGAACGGAACAAAAAGGGAAATATCTGATTCTTCAGCCAACTGAAGATCTACAGAGATAGTAGGAACTGCCGATGCTGGAGAATCTGAGATAACAAGGTGTAGAGCTGGATGAACACAGCAGGCCAGGCAGCATCAGAGGAGCAGGAAAGCTGACGTTTTGGGCCTAGAATTTTTTTTTCTTCTGAAGAAGGGTCTAGGCCCGAAATGTCAGCTTTCCTGCTCCGTTGATGCTGCTTGGCCTGCTGTGTTCATCCAACTCTACACCTTGTTATCTGAAGATCTACAGGTGCTGGGATGGGTTGGAAATCAGGAAGAAAAGGATGCTTTGTGATAAGGTGGAGGACAATTAAAAAGCAAAAGTTGTTGCTTGTTGCATCTCACAATGCAAGAGAGTGGTCACAGATTATTCAGGAAAGATTGTGCCCAGACAAAGAGTGAATGGCTGCACAAAACCCATCTGAATACAACAAGGAGGAATAAAGAAAGAAACAAAAGGTGGGGAAGAGGTGAAAAACAGAACAGGACATGAACAACGGAAGGTCACAATCCAAAATTGTGGATCTTGAAGTTGAGAGCAGAAGGCTCCCCGGTGCCCAGGCGGAAGGTAGTGTGATGTTCCAGAAGTTTGTGTTGAGCATCACTGAACAGCAGCTCAAGCCCTGGATGTAGTGTGCTGTACTCCAAGTGTGTGGTGACTGTTTTGATTTTTTTTTAGTGAGGTGCCTTCTTTTAATGTTCATAAACTTTGCAAGAAGTTCTAGAGAAAGTCACTTACTCTTGCAATAAATCTCACCCACTTTCTCAGCCAGTGGTCGACGCCAAGCTCTTCCTGCACTTTGCACATCGGAAACGATTCTTGTGCCGCGACTGTAAGAGAAACAGCTAATAGCTAAAACTGGAACAATTACTTTCTCACTTTCCTTCTAGTGATTTCACTTCAGAAAATGCCTCTTTCAACTGCAAATCTCTTCAGATGCTCTCAGATCTTTTATTTAAAACAAAAAGGTGCTATAGAAATGCCATTCTTTCTTAAAGCAAGAAATATCCAAAACAGAACTACAGTTGAGGTCAAGCCAGTGTTTTATGTGAACTTAAAGTAAGGTCCTTGTTCTATGCCCTTATTAGTGATACCAAGGATATTGTCTGCTTTATCTACCACTGTCTCAACCTGTCCACCATATATTTGCAGGTCCCTTTGCTCCTGTAAACCATATCTATATACTTTCTACATGTTTTTCCGACCAGAATTAATCACTTCACACTTCTCTGCACTAAACTGGATCAGCCACTTGTCTGCCTATTATCCTTTCGGAGTCTAGCACTATCCTCCTCATACTTCATTATACTTTCAGGTTCTGTACAGATTTTGAAATTGTTCCCAATACATCAAGGTCTAGGTCATTAATATAGATCAGGAATCACAAGGGTCCCAATACTGACCCATACAGTAGGAACAGAAGTAGGCCATTCAGCCCTTCAAGTCTGCTCCACCTTTCAATGAGATCATGGCTGATGTGATAGTCCTCAACTCCATTTTCCTGCCTTTTCCCCATAACACTTGATTCCATTACTGATTCGGAATCTACTGCAGTCTTGAATGTACTTTACAATCCAGCCTCACTAGCTCTTTACCAGTAAAGAATTTCATAGATTCACTACCCTTTGAGAGAATAAGTTGCTCCTCATCTCGGTCTTAAACAGGGTGATCCCTTATGCTGAGATGACACCCTCTGCTCCTAGACTGTCCCACAAGGGGAAACAGCGTCTCCACATCTACCCTGTCAAGCAAAAGCCAGCATTCCATTTGCCTTCCATATTACTTGCTAAACCTGGATATTAGTTTTTTGAGATTCACGGACAAGGATTCCCAAATCCCTCTGTGCTGCAGCTTTTGCAATCTTTCTCCATCTAAATAGTATTCAGCTCCTCTATTCCTCCTGCCAAAGTGCATAACCTCCTGTTTCTCTGCATTATATTCTCTCTGCCCACTCATTTAACCTGTCTATATTCCTCTTCAGACTCTGTCATTCTCACCACTTGCCTTCCCA